CTTCCCCAGGCATCTTCTTTTGAAAGTCAACTTTCTGAACCTAAATTATCACACTCTTAACTTACACATTATTTCTATTATCCCTTCTCCTTGATTGTAAGCTCCTAAGGAATTGCCATAAGTTCGCGATGGATTTAGAAGAGGCTGTGGCATCAGGGATATCATTGCTGATGTCAGATGAATCCTGGCTGAAAGCAAAGAATACCAGAAGAAAGTCTATTTGTGCTTTATTAATGATGCAAAGTCATTTGACTGTGTGGATCATAATAAATTATGGCTAATGCTGAGAAGAATGGGAATACCAGACCACTTAATTGTGTTCATGTGAAACCTATACTTAGACCAAGAGGTAGTTCTGAGAACAGACTAGGAAACACTACATTAAGAATTAATAATAGTGCAACAATGAATGAATGGAAACCCAAAATCTCTGTAAATGTTCCTTAAAATTAATAAAATTTAATTTAAAAAAGCCCAAAAAAACCACCACCACCACCACAACAAAAAGAATTAATGTAAAATAAAGAAAGGTTTGTATCAGGGTTTTATCCTCTCTCCATACCTATTCAATCAGTATCTTGAGCAAATCATTCAAGAAGCTGGACTCTGTGAAGAAAAATGTGGCATCAAGATCAAAGAAAGACTCATCAATAACCCTTGTTATGCAGATGACACGACCTTGCTTTCTGAAAGTGAAGGCTTGAAGCACTTGTTGCAGAAGATTTCAATATGATTGCATCTCAGTGTCAAGAAAACAAAAATTCTTAATACTGGACCTATAGGCAACATAATGATAAATGTAGAAAAGATTGAAACAGTCAATAACTTCATCTCTCTTGGATCCACAATCAATACACTTGGTACCAGCAGTCAGGAGATCAGGAGATGTATTGCGCTGGGGAAGTCTGTAGTCAGGGACTTCTCCAAATTATTGAGGAGCAATAACTTTAGTTTGAGGACTGCAGTACACCTGATTCAGGCAATGGTCTTTTCAATCAATTGCTATACTGTTGAGAGCTGGACAGCGAATAAGAATGACAGAAAATTGACTTCTTTAAACTGTGGTGTTGGAGATAAGTACTGAATATCCCATGGAATGCCAAAAGAGCAAACAGATATGTCTTGGAGAAGGTGTAGCAGAGTTTTCCTTGGAGGCAAAAATGGTAACAGGTTATCTCCTCACATACTTTGGGCATGCTGCTAGGACAAGTTATTCCTTGGAGAGGGATATCATGCTCAGGAAGGAGAGGGAGAGCAAAAGAGAGAAAGACTCTCAACTGGGTGGATTGACACAGTGACTGCAGCAGTGGGCTTGAGTGTATCAGAGATTGTGAAGATAGCACATGATAGGACTGGATTCAGATCTATTGTTCATAGAGTTGCTATGAGTTGTACTCAACTTGATGGCACCTAACAACAACAATGGACAGGAGGTCAATGGAGAGTCGGTTAATAAGTCAGTTCTGACTTGGCAGCAGCAATGAGAGCAAGAAAGGTCAAGGAAAGCAACTGGATCATGTCCCCATTCCCTACTGAAGCTGGCACTTCAAATAATGAATGACTTCAACTAATAAGTGCTCGAAAGACTTCCGGATAAATAAATGCTGCTTTGTTTCCTAGGTACTGGAAGTGATTATTCTAATGACACTATTAGTTTCTTGTGGAAAACCTTTTTCGACTCAAGTTCCTTTTGGAAATATAAAAGGCTTAGACAAAAATAATCTCTGAGTTATTTCCAAACTGTAAACTATTGAGTTAGTAATAAGGAATAGAAAGATTGATTGAGGTAGATATTTACTCTATCATTTCTAAACCCTCATTAAGATGGATTGGCATGGTGACTACAACAATGGGCTTGAGCATGGAAGAGACTAGGATGACAGCACAGGATAGAGCCCATTTCCTATCTGCTGCTCTTAAGGTAACTACGAGTCATAGTCTACTCAACAGCACTCAACAACAACAACATCATTTCTAGTAGAGAATTCAACACTGTGGGAACTGAATATACATTTGCAATGAACCATTTCTAATATAGATAGATTTCAGTTTGAGAAGAAAATGATAGATTTGTTGAGAAAGCTTCAAATACATTTCTTACAAATTGAACATGACCATATACAAGAAAAGTTATTAAATGGACTCCTAAGGTGAATTATTTTTATAATATTTTTAATAATTTAGTTATTTTGTAATATTTTGAAAAACCTATAACTTAGGCATCCACTTCCTAAACAACATGCCTTTGGAAACTCTATGAACATTGGAGAAAAGTTGATTAATTATAGAACAAGGTTTGGATCTTTTGTTCCTAGGGTAGCTGTGAGTTGTACTTGATTCAGTGACACTTAACAACAACAACAATGTAATTCCTTTAAAAATTTTCACATTTCTTTTATATCAAAATGTTGGTAGTAAAAGAAACCAGATTAGTAGTTCAGAGTCCTCAAGGCAGACTATTTATTACTGGCTAACTAGAGTGATTCTTCATAGAGAATTGTTCCTCTGACTACAGTTACCCAGCTGATCTTGTACACATATGCACACACTTTTGTCTTTGTACTTTAACTTGTACTTTAACCTTCACAATTCTACTTGAATGTATAATGCTCTGCATTACCTTTTCACTTTCCAGTATTCTTCTCAAAACTTTTTTTGCTGTGTTCTCAAATGCCTCACCTTTTTTAAAAACAGATATGCCTTCCATAGTGTCTGGATCATCCCCAGTGTCTAGAAGTTTCGAAGTTTCTTTCTCTGATGGTAGCTTTTGGATGAGCTTGCTGGAGGTTGAAACTGTCCCAGCTGGGAAGCAATAGCTTGAGGTCACCCTCAAGGTAGGCACCAAGGAAGAGAATGTCTCTTACTCCCTTTCACTCTCCCTATGTCTCCCTGCTATCTACGATCTTATGTCCAAAAATCCAGTGAAAAAAATAGAGAAATTACGATTCTTCTTGATAACTCTCTTATCTAAAAAAGAAAGTTTGTCTTTCTGCCTGAACATAAATGGAGGAAATCCATACACATACAAGATACTTTGACACTGAGGTGGAAGGGGGGAAAATACCTTGTCCAACTTACTGCTGTGGAGTCAGAATAGACTCATCTGACCCTCCAGTGGGTTTTCAGAAGCTATAAATCACACAGGAGGAGAATGCCTATCTTTGTGGAATTGCAGGTGGATTCGAACTGCCGGAGAGATGCCACCTTTGTGTTAGCCATACAAATCACTACAGACTCCTTGCTATTGTTTTTGCTAAGTGCCATTGAGTCAACTATGACTCGTAGTGACCCTATAAACAACAGATCTTAACTTTACCCTATCCTATGTCATTCTCATCTACACAGGGAAGGTCATTTTTTTCTTTCAGGCATATTTTATCTTGGATTTTGACAAGGATTCCCATAGAGGATCAAGACAGGCTGAAATAATACATAAAGGACAGAGAAATAAATTAACATGGGCTATAATATTTGTTCCAACTAAACTCTTTAAGTCTTCTCTATCTGCCTAGTGCCTAACCGCACATACAATCTCAACAGATACTTGAATAAGAAAAAGTCATCAGTGACAAATATTTTATAACAGTGAGAATGGTCATCTGACCCCTTAAATCTGTATTTAATACAACTAAGTTGTGAGTGCTGTACTGAGACTTTCTACAGGAGAACCCATTCCCTGTCACTGTGGTTTGGTTAAGAGACAAGAATACCTGTGCTCTGTGGAGTCCTGACTACCCGGCGAGATTGAATCTTACACATGAAAAATGTCAGATGAAATTCCTCGTTATGCATGGCTGTCTCCTAGAAATATAGACAAAGTTTAATTCAAGTGATCTGACTACAAGATGATTAAGATGGACAAAACTAGCATATATCAAGTTTGTAGAATTCAATTAGGTCTAAAGACCTAGCAGTATAAATCTATTAGCATATGGTGATGAAAAAGAATTTACTCTGATATATGACAGGACAGGTGTCCCTGAACTCATCAAAGATCCTCTTTTTCTAGCTGCAGGAAGTATTTAGAAGTGTGTTGCCACCAGAGGCCTCTCATTCAAGCCTGAGCTCCTATCAGAGTGTGCAGCAATTACTCAGAAACTTCTCTGCAAGACTTGGTGGAGGCCAATTAAATTGAAGAGGCTTGGTCAACAATCTGAATGAAGAAACACGGCATTTCTTCCCTTGGGCCATTTAGTCCTTTAAATGTTAGACCACTAGGACTTTTTCTATCAAGCCCCATAAAAATGGGTCTCCTGTAACTTTCCTGACACCTTTTCAGGAAGGCTCTACAAGCTGCTTTCCACTTCTTGTCTTCACTTAGAATGGAAAGGACCACAACAAGTTGGTCCCAGATTTGGCATACATTTCTTCCCTTGGGCCATTTAGTCCTTTAAATGTTAGACCACTAGGACTTTTTCTATCAAGCCCCATAAAAATGGGTCTCCTATAACTTTCCTGACACCTTTTCAGGAAGGCTCTACAAGCTGCTTTCCACTTCTTGTCTTCACTTAGAATGGAAAGGACCACAACAAGTTGGTCCCAGATTTGGCATACATTTTTGCAAATTACTTTTTCTGAACCTGTTACACTAAAATATCTCCAACAACTCCTACAAACACTACATTCTGTCATTTTTCAACAAGGCAGATCGTAGCCTCTGATCCAACTTGGCTCTTAGGCCTCCAACTGTCAAGGAAGCCACAGGTTCTTCCGTAAAAGGGAAACAGCGAGATGCCATGGAAACGAAGCATAAGCAAAAACTGTCAAGCGGAACCAGATGGCGCAGGGTTCAGAAACTGAGGGAGCACAGAAAAGCGAAGGACAAAGGACTCACTAACAGTAGTCTGAGAATAGTAACAAAAAAACCAAACTGAAAAGGAAGTGGGATATTATGACTACAGTCTTTGAAGTGCTTCAGATTGCTCAGCTCTCAGCACACTGCGCAGACGATCCGCAGGTCCTCAACTCTGCTCTTTGACCACCGCCCTCACATTCGTCCCATGTCACCCCGCCCTTCTCCACAACCACCGAACGGCTCTTCCGGTGATGTGAGAGCGTTTCCGGTTCGCGGCGGTTCCCGGGTTTTGCGTTCCGCGCTTAACCGGAAACCCCTTCGCATAGCAGCCGGTTCCGGTTCGGTGAGTGGCGGCGGGAAGCTGGGGGAGGGGTGAGGATGGAGGGAGCCTGGGCCGGGAGGCAGTGCCGGACCGAGTCCACTGGCCTGAGTTGGACTGGTCGCGAGCGGGGACCGCTGAGGATCCAGCACCTTTCCCTCTGCCCCGCCCCCCCGGGACCACCCCCCCTCCTGTCCGCCGGCCGCAGTTCGGCCGTTAGTTAGGCTCTCTGAGGACGTTCCTTCAAGCTCCTTTCTACTAGACCGCGGAGAGGTCGCTGCCCTCACCTATCCCCTTGCCGGTACCACAGGGCCCCGTCTGGATGCTCGGCCATGCTACTTGTGGGGAAAGAGCTGGCCGAGGTTCCTCGGCTTTCCCGCCAGGGCAAGGCTTCTCCTAAGGAAGAACTGCTTTTCAACAGGAAGCTCAGTTTTCCTGTCAAACCAGCTTCGCTGCCACTTTCCTTGAGAACTGGATTATCCTTTCCGACTATGTCTGGGTCTCATGTCCGCATTTCTCAAACTCTCTTACTGGTTTCTCCCTGAGATGTGATCTCGCTGGTGCTCCCGCCAGAAAGAGACGTTGGGATCCTGCTATCCAGTTTGTGAACCCCCCTTAGCTCCCACAGTTTGCTTACCTGGCTCATCACCTCCTGGTTACCCCCTGGTTAGCCTCTGTTGGTGTACCCTAACGTGATCGCTGGGTGTATGCCTCCTCTCTCTCGTCTCGGTCAGGTCTGTTTATCGGGGCCTCGGCAGTGTTTCACTATCTTGTTGGCTGTAACTTGCCACTTTATCACTTTCAGGTCAGCCTTGTTAAAAGTCCTTTCACTTCACGTTTGATACTCTTATTACACTATTTGGGGATGGTGATTTTATTCTGGCAAAATTTTTATAAAACCTTACAGACTTAACTATGTGTCCAAGGTCTTTGATCTGATTGTTTGTTCTGGGTGGAATAAAGCTCAGTATCTTTTACATCTTCGTTTTCTAGAAAGAGTTTATGTTAAGGACTCGTGTTGAAATATAGATTACACTGAATTTCAAAATTGCAATTGCCATGATAGTTGAAACGTTTCTAAGCAGAGAGCCTTAACCTTTTTTCTAGTTTAGAGATTTCCTTAGTTTTTGCCCCTTCCAGTTTTTGTTGTTTTTTTTTTTGTTTTTTTCAGGAAGTTTTTGTCTCTTATCTTGAGAGGCTTCATTCATTTTTTTTTTTTTTACTTGATTCCATTTAATTCCTGACACACACTTTTCATGAGTTACTCTAGAAGGAGTGGATGTAAGTAAACAGGTTCTACCACTTTAGGCTTAAGTGATGTAACTCTTAATTACTGCTTTTGAAATCTTATTTTTTCTTCCCTTGGATTTCCTTATTGCTTGCCAGTTTTATCACCTTTATTGTCTTCCTATAAACATCTGTTTGTGGATCTGGTTTCCCCAACTAGACAGTGAATTTCTCAGTGGCAGAGACCAGGTCTTATGTTTCTTCCCAGTAACCAGCAAATACTAAATAGTTGGCACAAAGTTAATGGTTATTCGACAAGAAGTAAAAGTACTTAGTCCTTACCTTTAAGATGTTAGAGTCTAATTGGGAGAGATTACCTTTAAAAGTATGGTAAACAAAAATATTCAGGACTATAATAGTAAATGGGCCACATTCATAATTACCTCTCCCCCATTACTCAAGGTAGAGAGATTCATTTCTACATCCTTCACATGTCATAAATTGTCTTAATCATATCCTGGTCCAAAATGAGGCTAATTGTGTAATGCTTCTCAGTTGGTGTTTTCCTCAATATATAACTTCATCAGTCCTCAACATTCTCTGTCAGAATCACTTATGCATGGATGTAAGCTAGCAAATGTTTTACCATACTATGTTACTGTCAAGACTTTGCCTTTTTAATTTAAAAGTTCATGTTGCTTAACTTGGCTTCACCTGAATGCCTATAATTGCTTACTTTTTTGTAAGTGAATTAAAAGACCATTGTGTTGTGGTTGTGTTAGGTGCCATTGAATCGACCACGACTCATAGCAACTCTTTGAACTCTGTCTTGTCCTGCACCATCCTTATCATCCCTGCTGTACATGAGCCCTTAGGTAATGAAAATTATTAGAATTTTCTTAAAAAGAAATGAAATTCTTATGCTTGCAAGTTAATTTTGTGGTACAAAACATGACAAGTCAAAACTGTAGGCTACAAATTGTGGAATCTCCTAAATTCTGACTCAATCTTCATTTCTCAGATACCAACAAGATCATGAATGTTGCTATTGATGTCACTAAAGATTCCATACCCAGCATTTCATTGAGAATTTGGGTGTAAAATATCCTTTCTCCTAATGTAATTGCAAATTAAAAATAAGAAAATACCATACGTACACTGAAGAAGATGGATATGTTTGTTTTAAAGTGTGTATGTTGGACTATAATGAGTTGAAAATAGGAATTAATACAGTTTTCCCTGGGTTAATTAGGGATAATTTTCATCTTGCCAGTGTGTAAAACTCTGATAATTTGTTGAAAGCACAGTACCTTACCTGGGAGTCAGGATACCAGAAATCTTGTCCATTCTGCTTTATCTGTATAATTTTAGCAAAGATATTTAACCTCTTTGGACATAGTCTCTAAAACTTTTTAAAGTTTTTAGCTTACTTCCCCCTTCACTTTCATGGTAGCAAAATGTAGGGTATTTTTTTTCTTTTTAAAAATTTTACTTTATATTGGTTTGCATACAAAATTCATATACATAGTGTTTAACACTTTCCCATTGTGATTCTTACAGTCATTCTTACACATCATATTGTTGTGTTTTTATACTGTTCTATTTACAAAGTTCATATACATTGTTTTCACACCAGATCTTTCCTATTTCCTTCACCCACCCACCCATCAAATTTTATAACTATCAGTAACAACCCCCAGTCTCATTCTACAATATACAATATTTGTCCTTACGGGGCTGAGTTCACGGAGCATAATGCTTTTCAGTCCCTCCCAAGTTAGGTAGTAATTTACAAAAATCATTGCTCCTCTGTGTTGCCTAGTATTCTATCATGTAAATGTACCGTAATTTCTCATTCTATTCTTTTGTGGTTGGACATTTGAGCTGTTTCCATGTTCTTGCTGGTGAATAATGCTCTAAACACTGGTGTACAAGTCTCCGTTTGTGCTTCAGTTCTCATTCTCTCAGGATATATTCCAAGCAGTGGAATAGCTAAGTCTTAAGGAATTTCTGTGTTCAGCTTTTAAAATGCAGGTTTTTTTAAATTGACATTTAGCAAATAAAAGATCAGTGTGATAATAAGTACAAAGTGGCTTGTGAAAATAAACTGTGAAAATGCTACTGTTTATTTATATGATTTTCTCCTTTAATCTGGAGCATAGGAAATTATTAAAGAAGAAAGAATAACCTACAAAGTTTTCAAATAAAAGCTTCTTTTGAAATTGAGCAACTAGAAATTATATTTGAATCCTAAATCTAAGGCTTAAATTCTTTGGGAATTCTCTCCAGCAAAGATAGATGATTACTTTGGTGGTGTTAAGTGCCAGTGAATAGGGTTTTCAGAGTCAGTAAATCCCATGGAAGGGAATTACTCATCATTCTCCTGTGGACCAGCTAGTGGATTCAAATCGTGTACCTTTGGATTGGGAGTGCAACTTCTTATCACTAAACCACCAGAATTCCTCTTTCTTTTGAGTATTTCCTTTGTTGTTGTGATTATAAAATATGTTTGTTAGAGTGATCATCCAGTACCCTGAATACAGTGAAAGGTATTACTAGGTAGTAAAGAAAGTGCTCAGTCTTTTAAAAAAATATAATATGATTATATATTTATGTACTGTCGAGTTGCAACTGACCCATAGCTGACTCTCCAGCAGGTTTTCAGAGGCAATAAATAGCATAGGAAGAGATTGTCCATCTTTTTCTCTCCTGCAGAACAGATTATGGATTCAAACCACTTACCTTTAGGTTGACAGTGCAATTCCTTACCACTAGGCCACCAGAGTACCTCCTAAGTACATATAATAGTGACTATGACCATCTTCTTTACCTCACCTGGGTATCTGCCAGGAAGCTTGTATACAAAGAGTATGTTTGTTAACCTGTTTTCAAGCACTTCAGAGAAGAAAATAACATAGGTGCAAGGGCTTGGGTTTATAGCAGTTGATGATAGGGGGAAAAAAATTAGAACTACTAAGTATTGCTTGTGCTCAAATCAGAAGCTTTGTATACTTTGCTGATAAGGTATTTGGAGGAAAAGTCTTAATAGAACTACCACAGCATCTACCATTTGTTTATTCAGTAGTTTAGCTTGTTGTTATTGTGTGCTGTTGAGTTGGCATCAACTCATAGCTGGTCATCCAGTAAATTTTCAGAAACTGTAAATTACATGAAGAGAAGATTGCACATCTTTTTCCTGCTGAGTAGTTGGTGGATTAGGATGAATTTCTTGGTTATAGTTTCAAGATTGTCAACATCATCTGTGTTACATTGTAAACCACATAATGTCAGTGCTTGGATCTCAAAAGTATCTTCTCTCTTTCATAATCAGTGATTCTGTGGATAGTTAGAATTGCGGTGTAGTACAGCACAGACTGCAGAAGTCTTTGAAACTACCCCAGATTGGTTGTGGTTTTCAGTCTTTTCTAATCAAGCCATTCTTACCACCTTGTATTTTAATCCACTAAGAACATACACAGTTATCATAACTCAGTGATTTACTATTTTATATGAAGTGGATATTTCAATACATAATATTTTGTTTTCTACCTTCTTTTATAGGACTTTGCGTTTTACTGAAGTCAGTGATGTGAGAAGACCTGACATGGGTAAGGCTTACAATGAAGTAGTTGTTTAATCCTGTTAATTATTCTGATTAATTAAACTGAAGTATGAGAATGGATTTCCCTAATGTTTTTAATATAGTTTAAAGGAATTCTTAATTATGATCTTTTGTTTGTTGTTGTTTGCCATCAAGTTGAGCACAACTCAGAGTGACCCTATGAACAAAAGACTTAAAGCCTTTCTATAACTATTGTCATTTCTCAAAGTTCACAGAGTTTCCAGATGAATGTTGTTTAGGAAGTGGATGCCACTCCTGCTTCCAAACCTGTCTTAAACTGGGAGCTCCATCAAACACTGTCCACCGTGGGTAACCATATTTGACACCCCAATGGCACAAGGTTCAGCATCACAGCAACCTCCTCCACCTTGCTGAGAATGACGTCCTTCTCCTAGTAACTTGCCCAAAGCATGTGAGATAGAACTTCACAATCCTTGCCTCCAAGGAACAACCTGGTTTCACCCTGTCTAGGACAGATTTGTTTGGTTTTTTTGGCAGTCCACAGTGTGTTCAGTGCTCTTCTCAGCACCACAACTCAAGGCCTTGATTATTCCTCTCTCATCCTTAGTCATTGTCCAGCGATCAGATGCACAGCAAGTAACTGAGAAGACCATGGCTTGGATTAGGTGCACCTTAGTCTCTAGACTGCCATTCTTGCCCCTGAGCACTCGGAGAGGTCCCTGACAGCAGAGTTTCCCAAAAGCAACTTGTCTTTTGATTTCCTGACTAACAGTGCCAAGAGTGTTGATTGTGGATATGAGCAAGATGAAATTGTTAACAACTTCAGTCTCTTCTCTATTATTATGATGCTGCCAATTGGCTCAGTGGTGAGAATCTTTGTTTTCTTGATGTTGAGCTTCAGTCCATATTGAAGACTACATTCAACAGCACAATTAGACATTCTAGTACTCTGCTTTCAGCCAAGATCCATTTGACATGGTCATTGACATCCCTAGTGCCATGATCTCTTCTAAACTTAGTTTTTCTTTTTTGGTAGTCACCTGTCATTGTATTATTCTAGTCCTTTTTGGATAATCTTAAGCAAGTTTTGCTTGCACGAGAACAGATTTGAGGCATTGAACATTAATGAATTAAGATGAGATGTGCTGTGGGAAGATATCAAGAATGTCATGCATGAAGAATGCAAAAAGTTGTTTCTAAGAGACAGGAAGAAGACTGAGATGGATGTCAGAAGAGACTCAGTATTGCATTAGAATAACAAGTCAAAGGAAAGGCAAGAAATCAGAAAGTTGAGCTGAACATATTTCAGGGGGCAGCTTAGAAGATAATGCAAATATAATGAAATGTGCAAAAGTTGGAATTAGAAAATCAAAAGGTATGGACTTGCTTGGCATTTCTTAAGCTGAAGAACAGATTTAGTTAAGCCTTGAGTTGCAGTATTTAAATATGCTATGGGCAGAATATTGAATGATCCAGGAAGCATCAAAAGAAGATGGCAAAACAGCTATGAGATATCATCACACCCCAGTAAGAATAACAAAATTTAACAGAGCAGCAAACAACAAATGCGAGGTTGTGGAGAAACTGGAACCCTTAATCACTGTTGGTGGGAGTGTAAAATGGTGCAACCACTATGGAAGGCAGTATGGCGCTTTCTTAAAAAGTTAGAAATACCACTTGACCCAGCAGTTCCACTACTGGGAATATACCCTAAAGAAACCAGAACTGCCACCCAAGCAGATATGTGCACAACCATGTTTTGTTCCATCACTTTTTGTAAAGTCTTTGGAATTTTGCTTTTATATGATATTAGTTATATTGTTTGATAATTTCCACACTCTGTGGGATAACCTTTACTTGGAATGGGAATTAATAAGGCTCTTTTTTGGTCAGTTGTCCAGGTAACTGTCCTCCAGGTTTCTTGGCACAGTCTGGTGAGCACTTCCAGGGCTGGATTGGTTGGTTGAAATATGTCGGTTGGCATGCCATCCATTCCTGGGGCCTTATTTTTTACCATTTCCTTCAGAGCATCTTGAACTTCCTCCTTCTTCACCATTGCCTCTTGAATACAAGTTGTTTCATGAAATACTTCTATGTTGGCCAGTTATTTTTGGTGCAAAGACTCTGTTTACTCCTTCCATTTTATTTCGATACTTCCTGGATCATTCAGTATTATGCCCATAATATCCTTAAGTGTTTGAATTTGTTCTTCAACTTAAGAAGTGCTAAACGAGTTTGGCCCTTTTGATTTTCCGACTCTAGCTCTTAGCACATTTCATTATACTACTTCACTTTGGCTTCTAGGTGCTCTAGTGCAATATTCAGAGTCTCTTCCGACAGGTCTTTTCTTCCTCCTTTGTCTTTGTAATGACCTTTTGCTTTCTTCATAGATAATATTCTGGATACCCTCCTGCAACTCTTCTGTCTTTACTCATTAGTATTCAAGGCCTTAAATCTGTTCCTGAGATGTTTTTTAATTCAGGTGGGATAGACTCAAGATCAGATTTTGGTTCTTGTGGATTTAATTTCATTTTCTTTAGCTATAGTTTGAACTTGCATTATGAGTATTTGATGGTCTGTTACACAGTCAGCACCTGGCCTAGTTTTCACAGCTGATAATTGAGCTTCTCCAACAATTCTTTCCACAAATGTCAGTGATTCCTGTGCAGATCATCAGTTGAGATCCATGTATACAATTGCCATTTATATTTCTTATAAGAGGTATTTGCAATCAGTAAGTTGCTGACTGTACAGAATTCTATCATTTTATCTCCAGTGTGTTTTCTGTCACCAGCTCATGTTTTCTGACTACTAATCCTCCTCCTTCATTCCAGTCACCCATTATTATTAGTGCATCCTGACTGCATGTTCGATCGATTTCTGACTGCAAAAGTTGGAAGGAATCATCTGTTTCCTCCTCTGGCTCTGGTTGTTGGTACATATATTTGACTGGTGACGGTAATGACAGGTGCTCCTTGTATGAGAATGGATATTTTCTTGTCATTGACGTTTATTTCAAGATGTATCTGGAAATGGTCTTTTTAACTATGAGGGTGACCCTACTTTTCCCCTCACCTTTTTATCTCCAGAGTAATAGATGATATGATAATCTGATTCAAAATGTCCCATGCAAATCATCTCATTTTGCTGATTTGTAGTTTGTTAATATTTATGCATTCCATTTCTTTCTTAAAAGTACCCAGTTTATCTATGTTCATACTTCTCACATTCCACATTTCAATAGCTAGTATCTGGTTGCAACTATTCCTCCTCCTCTGTGTTTGCCAACCAGAAGGCTGAACCTCAGTTGCCCTACCTGCTAGTTTAAAGTGTGCTTTATTGTGCATAGGGTTTCAAAAGCCTGTTGCTTAGAGAGTGGATGGCCAATCCTTCTCCTTGCCTTAATTTAGATGTTCAACTTAGAACAATATCTGGCAGGGAAACATTTTACCCAGAAGAGCAGATGAGATACACTTCAAAGTAGCCAGTTAAGTGCTGATTCTCTGAACCTCCATTTTGGCACCTGTGATTGATTCTGCTTCCTGTCCTGCTGTGCCAACATCTACTTCCTCCAGCTTCCACTTCTGCCCCTTCCCTTCTGATCCCTGCCTTGTTTAAGCACTTCCCTTACCCTCACTCCCCCCACCCCCACAGCAACTCCCAGATAGGGTGACTCAGGCCTCCAGTCACTTCTGTGATGCTGTTCTGCCTTGTTGCTGCTGCTTTACTCTATCTTGAGGCTTCCACTAGCCCTGCTCCACTCCCTCATGTAGCTTTTTTAAATTTTTTTAAAAATTAGTATGTATATTAAAATAACTTACTTAAATTAGGAACATTCTTTTTAGAAGTTTTCATTAAGACTCTTGCCTTTTATTTATTCTTTCTTTTTTGGTAAACTATGGGATCAGCAAAAGAAGAGAAAAGAAAAAAAAGTCTTCAATAATACAAATCCAATGCTCCCTATAAGCTCATTTTGTGTGGAATCTAGATGCATCCCACACCAAAGATCAGTTGCCACTAATTTGGAAACTGACTTATATCATTGCTGCAACTAAGTCCATAGAGTATACAGCAATAACCTACAACAGATATTTTGGTGACCAAAGCATAACAAAATATTAAAGGTAAATTATGATAGTTCTGCAAATGAGACATCTCACATTGCCCACAAAACTTTTATGAGTGGTTGCTCCCTCGTGTCTTAGCTGACCAGCAGCAGTGCTGGTGCCTTGAGTTGCTGGTGCATGCCTTATGTTACCAGTGACATTTAATACTTCTTTAAGGGGAGTGTGATTATTCTTAAAACTTTGAAGTAAATAGTTTTAATACCCAGATTTTTAAAGGTCTGGTCTGTCATCTTAAGTCACTTCCAAATGAGCCAGTTTTTGTCATTTAGTAAGGATATATGAACCAGTAGTTGTGAAAGAAGGGTTTTATTTAACTGTAGTGTTGTTCTTTGGGAATCTTGTTAGGAAAAAGTTATGAAAGAATTCTGTGACTAGAGGGATCTGTGTTCTTTTTCCAGATGATATTTCTGATAGAATGAGGATGGATGCTGGAGAAGTAACTTTAGTGAACCACAACTCTATATTCAAACCTCATCTCCTGCCACAGACAGGTTTACCTGAGGACCAGCTTTCTCTCTCTGACCATCAGGTAAGGAATGATCTTATTCTCTTAATTGATTACAAAGTAGACTATGTTTCTATCTGATGTAGATAACTACAAGTATATATGTAATCTTTGGGATATCAGGAATTTTAGTGTTTGGAATTCTATTGTATGTATGAAAGACAAGACAAGGCTAAATATGAATTACATACGATTAAATACAATATCATTTAGAAAACTTTGCATTGCTTCTCTGAATGCTACCATTACCAATGCACAAAAGTATTTTTTCAAACTTTTTTCACTGCCTCCTATTGAGTCTATTCCAGCTCATAGTTACGTCATGTGACAGTGTAGAACTGCGTCTGTAGGCTTTCCTAGGCTGTAATCATTAATATCACAAGCAAGTACAACCTTGGTGAAGATAATTTAAAACTAACTGGAGGAAAGGGAGCTCTGGTGGCCTAGTGGCAAGACACTGTGCTGTAATCCTGAAGGCCTGTGGTTTGGATCCACCAGATGCTCTGCTGAAGAAGGAAGGGCAATCTCCTCCTGTGCCAGTCGGATCTGGGTCGACAGCATAGAGAGAGAGAGGAAAAAAAAAGACTTGAGGAGTACATTGACAAGGACTGTAAGAAATTCAAACTGGTTTCAAAAGAAGCCATCAGATGAATCTTGGCTGAAAGCAGAGGATACAGAAGTATGTTTATTTGTGATTTACTGACTACAGAAAGGCATTGTGTGGATTATAAATTATTAATAATATTGAGAAGAATGAGGATTTCAGAACATTTAATTGTGCTCATGTGAAACCTGCACATGACCAAGAAACAGTTTTTCAAACAGAGCAAAGGAACAGAATTACATGGTTTAAAAAAAGACATGTGTCAGCAAGTTGTTTAAAAAACTGAGTTTATGAAGAGGAATGTGTCATCAAGATTGAAACTCACCACAACTTGAGTTTTACAGATGATGCAACTTTATTTGCAGAAAATGAGGAAGACTTGAAGCACTTAATACAGCAAATCAAAGACTGTATAGCCTTCAATATGGATTACATCTCAACATCAAGAAAACAAAAATTCTCATCACTGGACCAGTAGGCAGCATTTTGATATAGAAAAAGTTGAAGGTATCAAGGATTTCATTTTACTTGGATCCACAATAAACACCTATGGTAGTGTTGTTGCTATATGCTCTTGCTGGTTGTGCAGCATGTTTTTGTTATTATGTACCATTGAGTTGCTTGTGACTCATAGCAACCCTATATAAAACAACTCTGTTCCTTGCTCTATCTTGAGCCAACTTCATTTTCTCTGACATGCCAACCCCTATTACTCTAGTCATTGAATCAATCCATCTCAAACAGTGTCTTCTTCTCTTGTGCTGTCCCTCCACCGTTCCAAGCATGATGACTGGTCCCTCCTTGCAACATGTCCAGAGTATGTCAGATGAAACTTCAAGCTCTTTGCTTCCAAGGAACAGCCTGGTTTCACCCTTTCTAGGACAAAGCCATTTGTTCTCTTAGCAGGCCAGAGTATATTCAGTACTCTTTTCCAGCACCACTGCTCAAAGGTATCGATTCTTCTTCTGTCATCTTTAGTCATTGTCCAGCTTTCTGGTGCATAGCAAGTAATTGTGAATACCATGGCCTGGATCAGGCATACCTTGGTCTCTAGGCTGACATCGTTGCTCTTCAGTACTCTGGAGAGGTCTTTGGCAGCAGATTTTCCCAATGCAATGCATCTTTTAATTTCTTGCCTGCTAGTACCAAGAGTGTTGATTATGGAGCCAAGTAAGCTGAAGCTGTTAACATTCTTGGTCTTTTCATCCTCTATCATGATGCAGCTAGCTGGCCAGCAAATTTTTAAAGGCTGTAAATTGCATGGGAGGATTGGTGGATTTGAACCATCTGTCTTTGGATTTGTAGTGTAACTCCTTACCCACTAGGTCACCACAGCTCCCTTTTGTGATAGAGGACATCAACTACAGTGCGTAGTAATCCCATGAACGATGGGTTAGAACCTTGCTCTGTCCTATGCCATCGTCACCATCTCTGTTATACTTGAGCTCATTGTTACAGTCACTGTGCTAATGCATCTCATTGAGTATCTTCATCGCTTACTGACCCTCTGCCTTTCACCTTTCTAAATAGCAGTCAAGAAATCAAAAGACATGTTGCATTCATTGGGAAAATCTATCAGAAGCTTCTCCAAAGGGCTCAAGAGTATTGATATCAGTTGAAAGACTAAGGTGCACCCTATCCAAGCCAGAGTATTTTTTGCCTGTTTCTTAGGCATCTAAAAGTTGATCATTGAGACAGTACTACCAAAGACAGTTTACACATTCAACACAAACCCAATGCAAATAACTATTCCTTTCTTCAGCTAGATGGAAAAGGCTACTCCAATTTCAGTTGGAATGGAAAGAGGCCCCGAATAAGCAAAGCACTTCTTAAAAAGAGAAATAAGATAGGAGGCATCTCACTCTATGATTTCAAATCCTACTACATTGCTGTGGTGGTCAAGACAGCTTGGTCCTGCTACAATGAAAGACACATAGATCAATAGAATAGAATTGAAAATCCAGAAATCAGCCCATCTACCTATGGTCAACTGATTTTTGACAAGGAGATGAAATAAGTCAAGTAGGAAAACAACAGTCTTTTTAACACATGGTGTTGGCAAAATTGGAAAACTATCTAGAAAACTCAAGCAAGATCCACACCTCACTCTATAAACAAAAACCAACTCAAAGTGGATTATGGACCTAGGACTAAAACCAAGGACTATAAACTTCATTAAAGAAAAGCTTGGAAGAACCGTAGAAGTCCTAAATCACAACATAAACAGTCTTCCAAGCATCCTGCAAAATCTACAACCGGGAGAGGATAAAATAGATGAATGGGACCTACTACGAATCAAATCCTTATGCACATCTGCAGATTGGGAAAAAATATTTGGTAATGACATGTCAGACAAGGGACTTATATCTAAAATTTATAAAATACTAGAACACCACAACAAGATAAAGGTAAATAACCCAGTTGAAAAATGGGCACAGGATATGAACAGACACTTCACCAAAGAAGACTTTCAGATGGCCGACAAACACATGAAGAAATGTTCAAAATCCCTAGTTCTAAGAGAGATGAAAATCAAAACAACTGTGAGGTATCATCTCATCCCCCAGTAAGAATAGCAAAATTTAACAGAACAGCAAACAATAAATGCTGGCAAGGTTGTGGAGAAATGGAACCCTTATTCACTGTTGGTAGGAGTGTAAAATGGTGCATCCACTTTGGAAGGCTGTATGTTCGGCACTTTCTCAAAAGGTTGCAAATAGAAATACCATTTGACCCATTAGACTTCTGGGAATTTACCATAAAGAAGCCATAACTGCCACCCAAGCAGATATATGCACACCCATGTTTATTGCGGCTTTGTTCACAGTAGCAAAGAGCTGGAGACAACCTAAGTGCCCATCAACAAATGAATGGATAGAGAAGCTCTTGTATATTCACACAATAGAATACTATGCAGCACTGAAAAACAAGGGACTCATGAAATATTACGCAAAGTGGATGACCCTGGAGGACATTATGCTGAGTGAAATATCTCAGTCACAAAAGGACAAATATTGCATAGGGCCACTACTGTAAAACAGGACTGACATTGAGGTTGAGGGAAGACAGAGAAGAAGGGGAGGAATGATTAATACTGCATTGCAACATATGAGGGAGAGAACTGTTTAAAAGGGGTATATGATTAGATATTATTGTCATGACAGGAGTCCAGAATGAAGGCTGCACAGTGGGTGGACTTGGGGGAAGGAATTGCATAGCAGTGAAAGAGTTTTTGTTTTACTTATCAAGGAGAAAAGTGAATTGTGGGGGAGGGGGGGGAGGCAGGGAGAAAAGTACAATGAATGACTGGAAACCCTAAGTCTCTGTAAACTTTCATTAAAATTAATTTTAAAAAAAGTTGAACATTGAAAAAGGGTGATTGAGGAAGAGTTGGTATCTTTCAAATCTTGGTGTTGGCAAAGAATACTGAATATTCCATGACTTGCCAAAGGAACAAGTCTGTCTTAGAGGAAGTGCAATTTGGGTGTTCTTTAGAGTCAGAAAACTACACATACTTCGGACATGTCATTGGGAGCTCAGTGCTTGAAAAAAAGACATCTTATTGGGAAAGGTGGAGGGTCAAAGAAAAAGAAACAGACCCTTAGCAAGTTGATGGGCACAATGCCTGTAACAGTGTAGTCAAGCATATAGAAGATTGAGGATAGAGCAGGATAGGACATGATTCAGATCCGTTGTTCCTACAGCAGCAGTAGAGTCAGTGGCACACACCACCACCAACATTCAGTCTTCATGCTAAGAAATAATCTAAGAAGCTAGACTCTAAAGAAGATTATGGCATCAGGATTGGAGGACTACTCATTAACAGCCTTCAGTGCTCGTTAACAGCCTGCAACATGCAGACCGCACAGTCTTCCTTGCTAAAAGCGAAGAAGAGTTGAAGTACTCAGTGAATATCAACATTTATAGCCTTCAGTTTAGATTACACCTCAACATCAGGGAAAAAATACAGTTCACAACTACATCAATAAACAACAACATGATAAATGACAAAAAGATTGAAATTGTCATAGATGTCATTTCATTTGGATCAACACCCATAGAAGTTGCAATCACAACATGTGTTGTCTTGGGAAAGTATACTGCCAAAATACACAAAAACAAAAGCTTACTAAATTGGAACCAATTCATAGCTGAACCTCTTTTGAGTCTCCGAGACTGCACATTTCATGGGAGTTTGCCCATCTTCCACGAAACTGTTTGTGGATTTGAACTTCCAGAGAGTTGCAGCTTTTGAGTTAGCAGTGCAACTCCCTGTAGACTGCCACTAGTGCTCCCAAAGAATAAGAATGTCATTTTAAAGACTAATGTGCACTTGACCCAAGTTATGATATTGTCAGTTGTTTCATATACATGTGAAAGTTGGATAATGAATTAGGAATACTGAAGTAGAATTAATGCCTTTGAATTATAGTGTTGAAGACGACTGACTATACTATGGACTGCCAAAAGAAATCTGCCGCAGAAGAAGTGCAGTCAGGAGGCTTCTTAGAGGCAAAGATGGTGAGCCTTTGCCTCACATATTTAGAGCATGTTATCAGAAGGGACCAGTCCTTGGAAGGGGACTTTGTGCTTGGAAAGATAGAGAAGTAGAGGGAGGCTCTCAGTACAATGTATTGATACAGTGACCACAACAATAGGCTGAATTATAGTGAAGATTGTGAGGAATGCACTGGGTCAGGCAAAGTTTCATCTATTGTACATAGGTTGCTATTAGTTGAGTAGATACGGTGATATAACAACATCATTAGGCTCTGAGTCAGAATCTATATTTTAATACTTTTTCTAGCTGTTCTATGTGCATACTGTTTGAAAAGTACTATTCCAAAGCAGTTTTTTTAATAGAACCAACCAGAAACCTGCTGCCTTTGAAATGATTCTTCTGACTCATGGTGACCATCCATTAGGTTTTAATGAATGCAGATCCTTAAAGGAGGAGAGTGCCTCATCTTCTCCTATGAGCAACTGGTAGAACAAACCACTGACCTTTCAGCCTAACATTCTGACATGTAACACACTATGCCGCTAGGATTCTTCTTAATAGAAAAGCCCTTGGTATACTCTGTACTGTTTGCTTTCATCTGGATGTTTAGCATCCTTGGTCTCCAGACACTACCTACCTAGAGCATCCAATATCTCATGGTGATTTTGATAATAGTTCCAAATTTGTACTAGGACTGTAACACCACTCTTAAAGAACTGTCTCTAAATTTATCATAGGTAAACCATGTTTATATACTCAGCTGCTTTGTTGTATGTCACAGTTGGCTTTCAGAACCAAACAAAATCCAGTTCCAGCTCATGGAATTCTTCCTTTGGTTTTCCAAAACTATAGATCTTCCTAGGAGCGCAAATTGCCTTCTGTCTCCTCTGGAGTGATTGGTGGATTTGAATCACTGACATTTTGGTGGGGAGCTCTGATGGCCAGTATTAAGAAGCAGTGCTGCAATGCCTAAGGCACACAGTTCAAATCTAGCTGCTCCATGGGAAAAAGATGGGCATTCTTCTCCCATGAGATTATTGCCTCCAAAAACCTGCTATAGGGTTAGCTATGAATCAGTTCTGACCCAGTGGTACACAACAACAACAACAATAGCCTTTAGGTTAATAGCACTACACCAGTAGGGCTCATTGACTTTTAGAACAGGATATATTAAATACATATTTATTTTGTAGTGAGTTAAATTGTATAATGGCTATTTTAACAATATTCCTCTATTCTCTTTTTTTATTAGTACATAGCTTTTAATGTTTAGATACATTGAGTTATCAAATATAATTTTGTATAAAGAAATCTTTTTTCTGTTTTATTGAAGATATGATTTAAGAAAAGAAAATCTTGTGTTTTGTTTAGATTTTACCTTCCATGCAAGGAGATTTGGATGGATCATTGACATGTTCCACAAGAAGTGCACCTTATAATACAGATTATTACTCAGGTATGACACGTTGCTTGGAAACAAAAAATTATACCTTTCAGATTCCTATTTGTCTTTATCATCTCTAAACCTAAAAGCATTCTCAAGAGCAAAATGGTATTTTTTCCACTAAAACATTTTAATAAGCTTTTTATGTGTATGATTTCCATAAAATATTGACCTAATTTCTACTGAATATTAATTTCCCCCCATATATTTAACAATTCATTTTCCTATTTGTCAAAAGTTATTGTAAAAAGCAATAAGGCTTTCTTTTAAAGTTGTGACGTAAAGAATTTGTTTGTGTGTCTGTGTGTGTGTGTTTGTGTGTGTACTGTCAAATCAGATCTGACTGGTACAAGAGGAGATTGTCCCTTCTTCTCCAGCAGAGCCTCTGGTGGATTTGAACCACATACCTCTGAGATTGCAATGCAGCTTCTTGCCACTAGGCCACCAGAGCTCCCGTAGCATTGATTTTAAACACAGAGTTTGCCTGTTTCTGTTCTGCTTGAAACCATAAAACCTGAAAATTTATTCCTTCCAAAGTTTGTCCTTTCATCAGGGCAGGAAATGTTAACATGTTTCTGTCGAATACCTGCCACAGCCATGCTTGCATATTCAAGGGCTTGCCTGTTCAGCTTGTGGTCCATGATGACAGAAGTCAGCATTCTATAGGCTATTTCTAAACTCTGGCTTGCCTAATTTATCTTCTTGCTTCCTAAACTTGAATCCTCAATAATCTTCTGCCTCTATTTTGAGAAACAGAGAATTTTGTTGGTTAGTTTCTTGGCAGTATGACTCAGGAATATATAGGAATTTTTGTACCTTGAATAATTAGTGATTTTCCCCATATATTCTTACTCTTCATGCCTTGATTTCCTCATGAAATAAGAATATTAGTACACTAGTATTGCACTTACCCTTTGTGGGATTTTTACAAAGCTAAATTGAGACGATAAAAATGAAATGCAAGTAATAATTATTGTTATTTGGCTTCTTTAGGATTCTTTGTCAACAAGATGAGATCTCCACCCCTAAAAAGACGTTAGTATGATACTCTTTTAGTATATTTACATGTCATTTAAGTGGGTGGTGTATATCTACCCTGGGAACTGGATTTGTTGTCCTGAGGGTGAGGGGAGTGGCTTCCATAGTATATACATAATTTATATAGAAAAATAAATTCATCTTCTTGGAAAATAGTTGCCATTATTATTGAAAGGAACTTTTTTATGAGTGTAGAGTTTGCAATATGGTTTAATAGCTCATTATTATTCATAAAGGACAATTGAGTACTCAGTGGAATTATTAGTGATTAGTGATATTTTATTTGAACTCCATCTCTTTGTTTCTAATTTCATGTATTGATATGCCGTTAAGTAGTACCTAGTTTTAGAGAGCTCTAGTGGCCCAGTAACAAGAAGCTACGGTGCAAACCCAAAGGCACGTGGTTGGAGGCCACCAGCTGCTCTGAAGGGAAAAGGGCAATTTCCTTGCATGTGATTAACTGCCTCTGAAAAATCTATGGGTTGGTTCCGACCCTCTGGTATATAACAACAACAGTACCTAGTTTGAGTTTAAAATGATTGCTTAATTATAATCACAGCAGTTGCATTAAAAATTCTTTATTATAGTTCAACTTACTTTATTCAATTCTTGAGTCCTCGACACATTTTTACCTGGTACACATTATATAATTCAGTACATAATATCTTTTTTCTAGCTCACTATTTTCAACAACAGCCTAGAGAGAGATCAGTTGTTGGCCTAGTGGACAGAAAGTCTTGCTCCCAAGCCAAAGGTGGGTGACTCTACTCTGTAGCCCTCAGGCCTACCTTTAATACTTATTGCTGAAACGCTCTTCTAGGTTGTATAACCCTGGTCTGTCCACTTGCTGTACAGAGGTAACTCGTGGTTGCTGTGAAGCTGAACACTGTGACACTGATGAGTCCAATGCAAGAATGGTTACCCATGGTGGACAGTGTTTGGTGGACCTCCCCAATTAAAACAAGCTGAGAAACAGGAGTGGCATCCACTTCCGTAATAACTTGCCTCTGGATACCTTATGAATGTGGAGAAAGGACGAAAGTTATACAGGTCTCCAGGTCTTTTGTTCATAGGGTCACTGTGAGTTGTCTATGACTTGACAGCACTTAACAACAACATTTTTGTTTTTACTTTTTTACTTTTATGGATTATATTCCTATTTCTAAGAATCTATATAAACATACACCCATAATTTCTTCCAAAATTTGAATATACACATAATTTTTGAAAAAATTCCTAAAACTCTAAAAACATTTTTTTCATATCTTATTGTAGTTAAAACTTAACCTGACTTTATTTCTTGGAAAAATCTGTATGAACTAGTATGATACTATTTATTTATAATATTTATTATCAGTATGTTTGATCACAAGGTTCTGTTCTACACTAGGAAGTTTACATTTAGTATACCAGGTTATTTTTCCAAAATTCCTTTTATTTCACTTAATAACATAGCTGTATTCTTTGATTTGGGTTGAGCCTGTGCCTTTATTTGCTGCTTTGCTTTCCCTTTGATTAAGGTACTCCACCACTATTTTTAGCTATTATAAATATGAGTTTAAAGTTTTACATTCATATCATTTTTTATTCCTTTGAATTTCAGTGGTCTGTTGATACTCAGTGTTGGAAAAATTAGAGGGTTAGTGACAGAGAAGACCCTCTCTTTCGAAATGGATTGAAATAGCGACTAGAGTAATTGGCTTGAGCATGACAAATAATGAGGATGGTACAGAATAGGGCAGAGTTCACATCTGTTGTTCATAGGGTGGTTGTTAGTTGTAGTCAACTTGATATTCATAAAGGGATATAGTGTAGAGTATATAAGATCTTTATGTTTTCAAATATGACAGTATTTGACCAGATTCTTGGCTTTCTACTTTTTCAGTTGTCAATTTATGAGAAGTTGATTGCCATATCTTTCACTGATATTTTATCTCTTATTTGAAGGTCATTTCTTAGAAAAACAAAATTGTTTTCTAATAGTTATTATTTGTTGTTGTTCTGTGCTGTGGAGTTTGAATCAGCTCATACCTGAGTATGAGTTCAGAAGCCATAAATCATCCGGGAGGAGATTGCCTTTCTTGTGGAGTAGTAGGTGAAATTCAAATACCTGCTTTTGGGTTGGCAGTGCAGCTCCTTCCCACGAGGCCAAAAGAGCTCCCCTAATTATTATCTATACATGTATAATGATAGAGAATTACACCAGTGAATAAAGCCATGTTAAAATGGAGATCTATTATGAGAGGATTCAGATGTCTTTCTGCAAGACTTCCTCTATTCCTTGATTAAGTAAGCCTGATCAATGTTGTTCCCTAACAGTCAGAATTTTAAATCTGTAAATGCCAGGGATCTATATATTTTTCCTTCTATTAAAATTCTTAATTAAATCTTACTGTTTACATGTAATTTAAAAAAACTTTTTTCAAATATACTTTGGAAAAAAGAAATCAATAATTTCTACATGTGTAATTATGACTTTGATTACATTGTGCTTTTAAAAAACTTTTTTCCTTTGCCAGTTCTCTTCAGGTCCTATAAAACTTTGTGCTACCTCTCTCAGACATAGTCTTTTCTAACGATCCTTGCATTGATTTCTTTGAGCAGCTTCTCTGTGCCTGATCTCTTAATTGGCCAAATGTAGGTCTCTAGTTTAGCTATTTGGGTCTCTTGATCTGTGTTGGTATCTCTTTCCTCACCCTGCAGTCCTTTCCTCCACCTAAATGATGGGGAATTCAGGAAAGTTCCAGACCTTACACCCAAGATGTGGAGATTCTTAGGTTTCCTGTAAACTGCTTTACTGGATCTGCCTCTCCAGATTAAAAGTTTTAAAAATATGCTGCTTAATTCATATTTATATGATAACTAGACTATTAAAGGCACTGACTTTATTTTTTAAAAGTTCCTTATAAAACACAGAAAATATGATGTTTTCATTTCAATAACTTAGTTGTAGTTAGATTTTAAGACCTTGAGAGCACAATGGAAAAAAAAAATTAAAATCCTTGTTAAGATGAGAAAACAAGCTTAAGATGAAAAGAAATAATTTTACTCATGCTTAGAATCATCAGTGGCATATTTTGGAAAATATGTTAAATTTGACTGTGAATCTGGCACTTAGTTGCAAAGATAATTTCAGGCATTCTGTTACTAAAGTTTGAAACAAATCTTAACATGAACAACTAATACTTTTGTAGTAAGTAACTACCTGACTTGTTCTTTTTGAGCAAAGTTTTTTAATATACTCATAAAAATGCTGCCTACTTCTTACAGAAAGGATAGAAAAGTAGAAAAATACCAGTTTTGGTTGACATAACTTTTTGTTGTATTTCTTTCATGTGTGTGTATGTACACATAATAAATAATATTTTTTGTGGCATTTGTAATCTTCATAATTTAAGAATGAGAAAATTTCAGTTTAAAAAAGGAAAAGTATGTGCAGCCCTCTATTGATCCTGGGTAAGGTAATTAATCTCATACTTTTTCCTTTTCAAGAAACCTGCCATAGACCGTTGAGGTTACTCTAATTTTTTATTAGTCTCAAATTTTATACTTGGCCAGGATAAATGCAATTTCTTGATAGACTTATTCCTCAGGTATTTCTAGGTAGTTAATTTCCTAATAAATTTTTTTGGGAAAAGAGTAAGACAAAGATTTATACTGTCTTTTCATTTAAAGAAAAATATTTCTAGTCTTTTAATGAGATTAATTTTCATTAGCTTAAGTCTTTATCCTTAAAATAATAGTGATAGATGCTAAATATAGTTACTGCTTGGAAAGAAAAAAGTTATTATTCATTTTTACAATAAATTTAATTATTAAACTAGATTTATCCACTGGTGAATCAGTTTGTATTATCATTATCTCCAACTGTTTTTTCCCCCTTTATTATCCCTGAATCCTGATAGGTTAACCAACTTAGAAACACAGTACAAAGCATATTACTGTAGGCCACCTTACTTTTTAGATTGAGACTCAAAAGATAGTTTAAGTCTATTAAGTAACATAAATGCACAATGCTGTGGAAACTTGGATGATAATGTGTTTTGAGAAAAGATTTTCAAAATGATGTCAGCATTAAAGGTTCAGCAGTTAGAGGATCAAGCCTGTTTTTCTGTGGCAGTTCCTCACAGTTTCATAGCCTGATGTCTGAAGCTATTTTGAAGGAACTATTTTAAATTGCCTGATTCTGCTAATGAAGAGAGTATATAATTTTTTTACCACTCCTACCTGAAACCTCAAGGAATTTTTTTTGCCTCAGCTTGTAAATCATCATATCAAGAGAGTCAAATAATAAATAATCCTTAGTCTGATTGCAGTAACAAGCATCAGAATATTGATAAATCTGATAACTGTGGAATTAAGTGTCCAAGTTTATCATACCAGAATCAGATGCATAAGATGGTTTATGCCTGCCATTAACAAAACAGAATAAGCAGCAATTAGGCTTCCTGTGCTCTTAGAGAGCCCTAGAGTCCTGAACATATTATCTAATGAAAAGAAAGTGACACCAGCTGCTTATTAAGCTGTAACTGTTGTTTATTTAAATTCTCCTTGGCCCTCCACTTGGTTTCTTACTGGTCTGGCCTACCTTCTTTCAGGCCCAGGCCTGGGAGTGCTTGCAAGATATAGTTGGGGTAAAATGTTGACTTTTGGTGGACACCACGGAGTCACATTGATGCAGATAAGGCACATGGCTGTGGCAGGATTCAGCTCCTTCATCAATTTTCAGGTTAGTATGGCTGAATCAGTTATAGTTTGTAGAAGTTCCTTACTGCAGACTTTATTGGCAGTTGAGACTGGAATCTTTCTTCCATGAGGGACATGATGACATGCCACATTACTTTGGAATACAATATTGGACATGGTTACAGTCATATGAGGCACCAGCTATAGGTATTTGTTTAATTTATTCAAACTTTCATTCTTTTAGATAACCCTTCCTCTGACAGTTTTCTTGGCTTGGGCAATTTAAGAACCCTTGGCCAGAGTGCAAATGGCCAGTGGAGAAATTCCACTCCAGCATCGGGCTCAACTTTACAGAAATCAAGAAACAGTCGGAGTTTGTTCCTTGAACCTCGAAAGACTTCAAGGTAGGTTGTCTGCCTGCTTCACAAATGTATCTTCAGATATAAGAGAACGTTAACTATAAAATTGTTATTACATTGACATTTTAAAAGAACACAGTTTTTGAGCCTTAAACCATAACAGTATTCTAAATCCATCTTAAAGTTTAACATTTAGATGACTTAGTACTTTTTGAAAAAGCTTTATTGTAATTATATCAAATTTTGTGCATAGCCAAATCTTTTCAGAGGAAAAGAGTTTAGAAGAGAATCTTTATGCTTTTCTTGGAACTTTTTAGGATCAATATGGCTATTGTGAATTTTAAGATGAAAATCCAGGTCAGCCTCTACTACTTCTGTAGCAAAGAAACTACCACTTTTTTACAGGCTCTCACATGTTCTTCCATTTTATCATCACCAAACAAGTTGTACAGTCCTTATCTTTTTTCTGGCTGCTTCTGCTATTCCTAAAGAATAGTCTGGCTCATTTAGCGCTACGGCAGCCTTGAGGTATGGTTCTTCCCTTCCACCACCTGGGACCTGCACTAAGCAACCATGTCCAAGGGCCCTGCGGTTGGCATTGATCTTGGTACCACCTACTCCTGTGTAGGGGTCTTCCAGCATAGGAAAGTGGAGATCATTGCAAATGATCCAGGCAACTGGGCCACCCCAAGCTGTGTCACATTTACCGATACCAGACGATTGATTGGCGATGTGGCAAAGAATCAAGTTGCAATGAATCCTACTAACACAGTATTCGATGCCAAACGTTTCATTGGACGAAGATTTGATGATGCTGTTGTGCAGTCTGATATGAAACACTGGCCCTTCATGGTGGTGAATGATGCAGGCAGGCCCAAGGTCCAAGTAGAATATAAAGGAGAGACCAAAAGTTTCTATCCAGAGGAGGTGTCCTCTGTGGTTCTCACAAAGATGAAGGAAATTGCAGAAGCCTACCTTGGGAAGACTGTTACCAATGCTGTTGTCACAGTACCAGCCTACTTCAGTGACTCTCAGCACCAGGCTACCAAAGATACTGGAACCATTGCTGGCCTCAGTGTACTCCGAATCATCAGTGAGCCAACTGCTGCTGCTGTTGCTTATGGTTTAGAAAAAAAGGTTGGTGCTGAAAGGAATGTGCTGATTTTTGACTTAGGAGGTGGCACTTTTGATGTGTCAGTCCTCACTATTGAAGATGGGATATTTGAGGTCAAGTCTACTGCTGGAGACACCCACTTGGGTGGAGAAAACTTTGACAACTGAATCGTCAACCATTTCATTGCAGAGTTCAAGCACAAGCATAAGAAAGACATCAGTGAAAACGAGGGCTGTAAGACGCCTCCACACTGCTTGTGAGCATGCAAAGCGCACACTCTCTTCCAGCACCCAGGCCAGTATTGAGATAGATTCTCTGTATTAGGGAATCGACTTCTATACTTCCATTACCCGAGCCCGCTTTGAAGAATTGAATACTGATCTTTTCCGTGGCACTCTGGACCCTGTGGAGAAGCTCTGAGGGATGCCAAGCTAGACAAGTCACAGATGCATGATATTGTCCTGGTGGGTGGTTCTACCAGAATTCCCAAGATTCAGAAGCTTCTTCAGGATTTCTTCAATGGAAAGGAGTTGAACAAGAGCATCAACCCAGATGAGACTGTTGCTTATGGTGCAGCTGTACAGGCAGCCATTCTCTCTGGAGACAAATCTGAAAATGTTCAAGATTTGCTGCTCCTGGATGTCACTCCACTTTCCCTTGGTATTAAAACTGCTGGTGGAGTCATGACTGTCCTCATCAAGCGGAATACAACCATTCCTACCAAGCAGACACAGACCTTCACAACCTACTCTTGACAACCAGCCTGGTGTACTCATTCAGGTCTATGAAGGTGAGCATGCCATGACCAAAGATAACAACCTGCTTGGCAAGTTTGAGCTCACTGGGATACTACCTACACCTCGTGGTGTTCCTCAGATTGAAGTCACATTTGATACTGATGCCAATGGTATCCTTAATGTTTCTGCTGTTGACAAGAGCACTGGGAAAGAAAACAAGATTGTCATCACCAATGATAAGGGGCGCTTGAGTAAGGAAAACATTGAATGAATGGTCCAGGAGGCTGAGAAGTACAAAGCTGAATATGAGAAGCAAAGAGAGAAGGTGTCTTCTAAGAATTCCCTTGAGTCTTATGCATTTAATATGAAAGCAACAGTTGAAGATGAAAACCTTCAAGGCAAGATCAATGACGAGGACAAGCAGAAGATCGTTGACAAGTGCAATGAAATTATCAGCTGGCTTGATAAGAATCAGACTGCAGAAAAGGAGGAATTTGAGCATCAGCAGAAGGAACTAGAGAAGGTCTGCAACCCCATCATCACGAAGCTGTACCAGAGTGCTGGAGGCATGCCGGGAGGCATGTCTGGCGGCTTCCCTGATGGTGGAGCTCCTCCATCTGGTGGCACCTCTTCTGGACCCACCATTGAAGAGGTTGACTAAACCAGTCTGCATACTTTAGCAGTCATTGTCCTGCAGTTAAATTTTGAAGGACCCAAATTTGTAGCACACTGCAGTTGAAAAGTCTAAACTGCTAGACTAAATTTCTGGGCATTCTCAATACTTCAGTATGGAATGTGCATAGGGAAAAGAATTAACATTGCACTTTATTTTTTTTTTCTCCTGTTGTTTTTTTTTCCCTATAATTATATTTTATTAATTT